TATTTTATTTTCATTTTTTTGAATCTCTCCTTCCCGTTATGGATGCTTGTGGCCAGGTACTGGTCTCTTCTTTTTATTATTGTTTTTATTAGGAGTTTTTTTTTAAAGAAAATATTTATGTACCTTTAAATGTGAAGTTGGGTCGAATACATGTGTGCAAGGATGGACTTGTGGAATAAATTTATTGAGCAATAAATCAAATATTGTAGAGTAGCTCCTTTATCTTTTGGATCATCTAGGCAAATAATTTTGCTTTTAGTTCAAATACATAGTGTTTATCTGTAAGGATGTTAGCAAGTTCTAAAATTCCAAAATTTTTACTTAGTGTCTTATGGATATCAAAGATCTGAATCAGCTCCAACACTTTTTATTCATTCAGTTGTCATGTACCAGTTGATTATTTTACAAAATTTTCAATCATGAGAAGTTGATCATTTCACAATCTCTCCTTTTATACTAGTGTGTGCGTTTTTCCATATAGGGTAGCAAATTTGATGGTGGTTTTGTTGTTTTTTTTTTCAATTGGCAGGTGATTATTGATATCTATGAAGATAATTATATTAAATTGAACAATCATAATTTATAAATAATAGACCAAAAAATGTTTTGCAATGAGTGCTTGGTTGATGTGGAATATCATTAGTAGCATGTGAAGATAAACAAAGCTACTCCACTTGATTAACTGTCATAGTGACTTAAACATGTTACTAGTCACAAGGGCATATTAGTTATTTTGAGGAAAGCAATGCCAATGGTCCATTTGGGCACACCAGGAAAAGAATAGGTTGTGAAAGCAAATAAAGCACAAACACTTGTGTAAAAAGAGATTGGTATCGTCATAGACTCATTTTCCAAAGGCACAACAAAGAAAATGTGTTGTTCCAAAGAAACACTTGGTAGCTTGTTCTACAATGTTTCCAGCTCCTCCTTCCTCTTCTTCCTCTTCTTCTACTTCACCTCCATTTTTTTTGCCAAACTCTTCCACTATTGTGGCAGTCCAATCTTCCACTATTCTGTTCTGCTGATCTGTTTCCCCTGCTGTTGGGTTCCTCTGCTAACGGTTCCTCTGCTATGCTGATCCATAAAAGAAAAAAAAAAATCTCAGATTATTGCTGCTACCTTTGCTAGTCTGTTAAAAAGAGGGTCTGAGGGTTGAAGCTGTTAGTCCTGGTAATAGTCTGCTAGTCTGCTAATAGTGTTGCTGATCTGTTAGTTTGCTAATATTCTTGGAATTAGTCTTCCATTGAGTGTAGCTGGCTGCTTTTGTTGGGCTACTTGAACTAAATTCTCGACATACATTAAATGTGTTTAGTCTAATTATATGAAATTGCTGAGATATGTTGTATGTTTTCCAAATTAATAGTGTAATTTATTTATTTACAACTCAAATGTTGTTCATGTATGTAGAATTAGCTCTTTTACTCTGCTGATTTTCAACTCTTGGCTGTCCCTTGTTGGTCTGATTGTGCTCAGCAGTGGCTATTGGCTGTTTTGTTTGTTGGTTTTGTTGCTTCGCTTTTTTTGTTGGTTTCTCACCAACTGAAGCTTGGAGCTTGTGCTAGCTCCAAGCTCCTCTTTAGTGAAGGATCTTTTCATACTTTGGTTGTTTTCATCAATAAAGTTTTCGTTTGCTGATCACGTAGCTAAAAAATATTTGTTACGGTATCCATGTTAGCTGTGTTCTTTTGATTGCTTTGTTTCATAAGTGAAACATAAATTGTTTCATTTGGTGTGGAATTGTAGAACCCTATTTGAACAATTCTTAATGTACCAAGCATTGCATGCTTGTAGGTTGCATAATTTTGTTTATTTTATTTTCATTTTCCTGAATCTGTCCTTCCTGTTACTGTTAGCATATTTCATTTTGTAGTTTCTAACACTTTCTGTAATATTATGTAGATTAATTATTGTAATGGTTGTCTTTAACCTTTCAGATGGCCCAAATAGACAAGGGTTGGATGACAATAAAAAATAGATTAAGTAGTAGGGAGTATCAAGAAGGGGTGAATCATTTATTGAATTTGCAAAAAAAAAAAAAAAAAGAAAAAAAAGAAAAGGAACGCAGCTTATCATTTTCACCTTGATCACAAGGACATGTTGATGAAAGTAGCATTAATGTTTATGTGGTTAGTGTATTATATTTGATGAATCTATTTAATGGCTCATGGTTGACCTGGGGCCTGCTTTGTTGCTTCTTGGCTTATTGCCTAAGCTAGTGACTTGATTGACTTCTCCTCACTATTAATCAATTGATACTGACATATCTGATTTTGTGTAAGCATGCAGTGTTGAAAGTGTGAGTGAAGGTTCAAGCGAAGGAAGTGATGCAAATTCTCAAAATGTATGTATTATGTGACATGGTTTTTATAAATGGATGACTTGAGTGCTTGGGTATGTTAGATCCAATAAAAATTTGATTATATTGTGTAGAATGTCTTAAAGTTTGGTGTTGTGCTCCATGAAGTTACATTTTGTTAGTTTTAACAGGTCTTATCTCATAGTATAATTTTTACACCACAAGATCACCACTCTAGGTTAACATTTTATGACAAACTAGTGTCTGCTAAGAGAGTTAGAGAGGCACAATTAGAAGTAACAGATTTGGCATAAATTATGATCTTGAAGGCATGTGTTAGGAATTGTTTGTAACTAGAGGGTCTCACTGAAGATCTAATGCTACAATTGTTGTGATAATTTAAGTGATTTACATACAAAATGCTTGCATAAATAGAAGTATAGGGTAATGTCAATGGTTTCTTACAGCTGAGGTTGCTGTGGTAGACAGAGTCACAGGTTCAAATAATAAATAACTCCATATTTTTTTCTCTACAAAAAAAGATTGCCTTCATGTATTCTGACATTCAACCACAACAACACTTGTTTACTTGTTGCCGCCAAAAAAAGTATCACTACCAATATTAGATGTACTGTATTACATATGGAATTGGACGCATGACAGAAATGCATTGACACAAGGACATGGGCGCAGACACAATGAGGGCAGACAATATATCGAGATATTTTACTGTATATACTTCTATTATGTGCAGTAATTATATGATTCTAATTAATTTATGAAAATTTGTTTGTTTGAGATTGCATAAGATGTTTTAATAAGTAATTTGCTTTTATTAGAAGACCAAACTTAACAAATGTAATTCACAACTATGAAGGTTATATTTATGTAGGTATGCAAATATATATATATGTGTGTGTGTGTGTGTGTGTCTCATTACATTGTTTGGAATGAATCAGTATGCATATGTCTGCTACATAATTGACCTATTTTTGTCATGCTATGATATCAGAATTACTAATAGATTTTCGACATGTTTGCACTACAGGAAATGCCACTTTTGGCGACCAAAATATTGGTCGCCAAAAGCCCCATTTTTGGTCGCCGAAACAATTAGCGACTAAAATATTTTGTCGCCAAACTAGTCGCCTATACGCTGTCGGCGATAGTATTGGCGACTAATGTAACGCCCTCAAAATAATTTTTGTCATGCTATGATATCAGAATTACTAATAGATTTTAGACATTGTTGGGGTGCGTGCTTTGATTGTTTTCCCATGAGTATTGGAAGAATCTTGTATTGCAAAGATTCACAGAATGACAAGGCTGCCTTTAAGAAGTATTTGTGCCAGATAGAGAACCGCACTGGATGAAATAGATTAGACATGCTAGTCCTACTACATATAAATTTGTTATCTATTATTTTGGAGGTTGACCCTTCATAAATTCTTCCTTAAAGGCATGTGATTCATACGTACCATACAAGCATGAGGATCATGTCTTCTATGTCAAAAAATTTCACTTTCACATCTAGTATTTTCTATTAATTTTGGGCAGGACTCACAAATGAAGTCAGGATCCAGGCAAGATTCTTTCGGAGGTTTGGCTGTAAGAATGTTTCTTTCAATTTCAGTGACCAAATTTTGCAGTTTTTTTCCGATGATTTTAATGAAATTTTGGAACTATGCATGGTTCTCAGAATGGAGGACCAAATACACCTCCAATGATGGTGAACCAAACGATGCCCATCATGCCAGTGGCAGCAGCAGGTGCTCCAGGTGTACCTGGTCCCACCACAAACTTAAATATTGGTATGGACTACTGGGGTGCTGCAACTTCTTCCACTCTTCCTGCACTGCGTGGGAAGGCGCCTCCTACTCCAGTTGCAGGAGGAATGGTCACTGCTGGATCACGGGACAGTGTTCAGTCACAGCTTTGGCTACAGGTCTCTCTCTCTCTCTCCCTCTCTCTCTCTCTCATTTCCTTTCTTTTCAAGTAACAACTGCTGGATCACGGGACAGTGTTCAGTCACAGCTTTGGCTACAGGTCTCTCTCTCTCTCTCTCTCTCTCTCTCTCTCTCTCTCTCTCTCTCATTTCCTTTATTTTCTGTCTGTAATTTCAATTATTTAATCCATTTCACTTGCTTTACTCTTAATGTCTTAGCATCTAAATTAAATATTCTTAAGAATTTAAACATTTGCTTTGTGCCTGACCTTTGGTAATCATATTGTTTGTTGGAAAGGTTAAAGAGAGTAGGGATTTGGGTCTCCCCCCAACATCTCCTTTCTTTTCCACCCATCCACTCTGGATCACAAGATGGCTTGCTTTTGAAGAAGATATCTTCCACTTTCCGTTTAACCACTATATGGTTGCATGCATAGTAGTATAAGATGTGATCTAGGTACTTGCTTAGAGGTCAGAGTTTGCTCTGGACTGTTCTCATCCACAAAAGTGGAGGGAGGCCGGTGTTTGTTTTTGTGATGGACTTTAGTTATTGAGTAGGAAAATTCACATGGAAAGTTTTTGTTACATTAGCAGACGTTTGTAGCTTTCTAAAAGGTGTCAAGTCTCTGTACAATGTTTTATACTGCATCTCCTCTAGATATAGAGATGGAAGTACAACAATGACATGTAGTGCCAACATTTATACATTTAGATGTAGGCAGATAGACTGACCCAACATAAATGAACAAAAAGTACACACACAGACATACACATTTTTCGTGAAAAAGCAATTTCCCTTCTAACGAACCTAGAGGACCGGGAAGCGAGGTCCTAAAGTCTATATGTCCTTGCTACTGCATTTTAAGGTAAAGGGAGGAAGGCTAGGGCATCCATTTCAATAATTCTTTGACACGCCCCTTGTCTCTTATTCGTGCTGCTCTTTACATGACCTGTTCTAGCTCTATGTTTGGTCTCATCCAGTTTCCTGCTCTTCAAGGTAACAACTAGATGCTTGCGGTCTTATTACAGAACGAAAGGATGCTTAACACTATACTTGGTTTTTTTCTTCAAGCGGTTCCAAAATACCTTCAAAGAAGATCTACTCCCAACACCACACACACAGAGCAACGGATATATGAGCTGAATAGTTCCAAATCAATAACAAAGAAACCAAATTTCATAACACTTTTCTATGATCAATATACAGAAATATTACTCCAAAAAAAAAAAAAACAATTTAACTTGAAGGATTATAACCAAATCTCAAACTGAGATAGGAGGAGGATCAAATATATAAATGAGATTACTTAAAAAAAATTACATCATTAGAAGGACCATAATTGAAAGCTTGCGCATTGACTGCTCCATTGATCTCTTGTGTGTGTGTGTGTGTGTGTGTGTGTGTGTGTGTGTGTGAGAGAGAGAGAGAGAGAGAGATTGGAATTGGCAAATACAAGGGAGATGGGATGGGGATATATAAGGTTTGTTGTGAGGAGAATTCAGCAACAGATGTGTGTCAGTTTTAAGAATGGGATAAAAAAGGCAAAGAGCTATGCATCAGTGCTCTTATTTTTTGCATGAGTGAGACACCTCAAACAAATGAAGGTTTTAGGAGTAATGGTGGCATTCAATTTGACAAGTGGCATTAGAATCATATTGTCATTTAAGGGGAAAAACATAAAAAATTTAAAAACCTATAGAACTTGAAAACAGAAAAATCAAATCTTACATCTAATTTCAATAAGCAAATCAAGACAATCTGATTATTCATTCAACTCCTTGAAGGATTTCCTTGTTTAGTACGCCCTTCTCCGGCTGTAGCTCTAGATATTCACTATAAATATTTCGTCGTTTTAACCGTGACAACATCGTTTGCAAAAGTATCTTCTTAAATTTAGAATTGTTGAGTACACAATTATCGCTCTCTATGATTGCTTTAAAAAATTTTTTGCAAAGGTGATATCAAATGCCACAAAAGAAGTTAAAAAAAAGCAACAAATGAAAGAGGCAGAGAATACAAGACAACGTGAGGAGATGCAGCAGCAGCTTTTTGGAGTTCAGAGCATGTTGGCACAATTTTTGGAAAATCGCAATCCACCAAATTCTCGACAATAGATGGCTCAATGGTAATTGGTAAGTGTGTTAAACCATATTTGATTATATTTATGTTCAAATTAAAGGCAAATAAACGTTTGATGAGAATATCATAAAGAAATAGTTGTATTTAAACTAATTTTAGTTCTAAATTTGAAAGATGGAATTTACAGAATAGTTTATGTTGACTAGAAAAGATAGTTTAATGCATTGTAATGTTCCACTGATCGAAGGATGAATAGTTAAACCAGAATTTGTGAATGTTCCATGGAAACCAAAATGTGAGAAAAAAGGAAAAAACGAGCCAGTTGGGGCAATATTGTTGGAAACAGCCTGGAAACAACCCGAGATCGTTTGCTTGCACCTCGGCCTAGATCAAACAAACTTGTGAAAGAAAGCAACGCTTCGATAGGACGCATGATTAGTTATGTAGGACATAAACGTGTGACAAAGTAGGCAAAATCGGGGCGTTTGGGGTCCGAAACTGCTCTGAATTGGCTCCTCTCTATTTCATATTTTTCCTTCTTTTCTCTTCCTTTGGTGGTCTGCATGGTGAAGTATTGCATCAATATAATCTGTCAGTTGGCTGCTGTCTTCATCAGCAGCAGATTGGTGCATTGTGTTGTGTTGCTATATAACACTGTGGCAGCAGTGTGGGTCTGCTCCTCTCTATTTCTTCTTTTTTATTCTTTCTTTTCCTTTAGTGGTCTGCATGATCTGTCTGGCTTCATAAAGATCATCCTGATCTGTCTGGATGGGCAGCAGATGGATCTGTCTGCCTTCAGTGTGTGCTCCAGCTATGTCTGGCTTTTTCCTGAGCTGTCAATCATCATGATCTGTCTGGATGCTTTTTTTTGGAGCAAACTGGTGGTATATATTCTGAAATTATATATTTTCACAATTTTTGTTCGAAAAAATGTCGAATTTCACATGCTTTGAAATTACAATGTTTAAGAAACTGCAAAAGTGCACACTTCCTATAGTGAAATTGAGAAACTTCTTCATTTTTAAATATTGCCTAAGTGTCAAATTTCTAATGCTACACATTAGCAACTCTCCCAAAAATACATTACAAATCATATATCATGGATTGTGGGCCTTATTCAAGATAATATAGGACTGAGAACAGCATGCATTCTGTTGTATGCAAATTGTAGTGTTTGTATTTATTTTGATGGAATATGATCTTCAGGTGGTGATGTTAAATTGCATCGTTACAGAAGAAAGAATACAAATTAAACGTCAAGTATATATGGTGGTGACTATCAACACCAATTAATAGTTTGTATTTAGATTAATCATCGATGTATCAAATTTATTAGAGAGCTGCTATAAATTATTTGTTGTTTGCTTGCAAGTTTTTATATCACTGATCAATACATGCATGATAAATATAATATAATATATTAGTGTTTGCTTTTTCTAATACTTATCTCTAAAAAAACGATTAAAAATAAAACTACCCAATGGTCACAAACTTAACTTTTTTCCAAGTATAAAAAGTTCCGTTTCAAAAGTAGACTACCAAATAGCCCTTTGAGGAGTGAATTGGTTGGGTTAGTCAATCGAATTATATTCTGGGTAGTCAAGTGCCACACCCTTTATCCGATCTTCCAACATTGGCATCTCCCTTTGCCTCTGCTCCAATATTGCCGTGTAATGAAACCTGTTCATCATCCATTCATTCATTATTTATCAATCTATTTATGTAGATTAAAAAATATAGATACTTCCATTGTTCATCCTTTGGTGGTCTGCATGTTACTGTGTAACATTGTGGCAGCAGTGTAACACTCGTTTCATCACAACATGACAGATCAGGAGCCTTCAAAAGCCTTGGCAATATTGGTTCCATTAGAAGGCTTCTGAAAAGCGATTGTATCACATAGCAGCACACACAGCTGGGGAACTGATGTACTTAAATATTTTAGCGATACTGATTCATAGGTTCTACTACTTTTGAATCGTAATAAAGATCAAATTAGTTCATAAAAAAAACACACAAAAGCCTCACAACCAAAGTCAGAAAACTATGGTTCACATTACTAGATTGTCAAAAAAGTCTAATTAATTAACAACAACTGCTGAGGATGTCCTTTTAACTGTAATTTAAAACAATGAGAAGAGAAGCAGAGTAGACCATCCAGAGGTTTAACAAAATCCAAAAGAGGGTTAAAAAAACAAAAGCTTGGTATATAGATGGTTTTTGTTATCATTGAAAAAACAGAAAATGTTCAGCTGGAAAACTATTCCTGTGGCTGTGTTATGGTTTATTTGGAAACAGAGGTATGGCAGCATCTTTAATGGCACACAACCAGATCTGGTGGAGCTGTGTGAGGTCATCAAACTCAGGGCTGCTGCTATGAATTAGCTCACTCAAACAGTGGTTCTTCATGAGGATCCCAGTTCTGATGTTGTGGCCTGCTGCTGTATAGAGTTAGAAATGTTGCCTATTGCTGTTCTGTTGCCTGCTGCTGTGTGTCACAGGGGAGTTTTGAAATGCCTGCTGCTGGATTGTTTTGGGGGACTGCAGCAGAGGGGTTTCTTGCTGAATTGTGTTGGTTCAGTATTGTTTTCCTGTTGTGGATATTTTAATAGTGCAAGGGGTGATTGTTGCCATTGCTTGATCCTTAGGAATGTGTTTTGTTGTGGATGTGGGTTTTTGCAGTCCTTGGGAGGACTTGTTTAGAGATTGGTTTTTTTCTTGCGCAGGAGTAGATAAATTTTGCACCTAAGGTTTATGAAGTGATTTTCATTATTTAAATGTGTTCTTTCATTTATGAAGTGATGTTATGTTTCATTAAATTTTGCACCTAAGGTTTATGAAGTGATTTTCATTATTTAAATGTGTTCTTTCATTTATGAAGTGATGTTATGTTTCATTAAATTTTGCACCTAAGGTTTATGAAGTGATTTTCATTATTTAAATGTGTTCTTTCATTTATGAAGTGATGTTATGTTTCATTAAATTTTGCACCTAAGGTTTATGAAGTGATTTTCATTATTTAAATGTGTTCTTTCATTTATGAAGTGATGTTATGTTTCATTAAATTTTGCACCTAAGGTTTATGAAGTGATTTTCATTATTTAAATGTGTTCTTTCATTTATGAAGTGATGTTATGTTTCATTAAATTTTGCACCTAAGGTTTATGAAGTGATTTTCATTATTTAAATGTGTTCTTTCATTTATGAAGTGATGTTATGTTTCATTAAATTTTGCACCTAAGGTTTATGAAGTGATTTTCATTATTTAAATGTGTTCTTTCATTTATGAAGTGATGTTATGTTTCATTAAATTTTGCACCTAAGGTTTATGAAGTGATTTTCATTATTTAAATGTGTTCTTTCATTTATGAAGTGATGTTATGTTTCATTAAATTTTGCACCTAAGGTTTATGAAGTGATTTTCATTATTTAAATGTGTTCTTTCATTTATGAAGTGATGTTATGTTTCATTAAATTTTGCACCTAAGGTTTATGAAGTGATTTTCATTATTTAAATGTGTTCTTTCATTTATGAAGTGATGTTATGTTTCATTAAATTTTGCACCTAAGGTTTATGAAGTGATTTTCATTATTTAAATGTGTTCTTTCATTTATGAAGTGATGTTATGTTTCATTAAATTTTGCACCTAAGGTTTATGAAGTGATTTTCATTTATTAAATGTGTTCTTTCGTTTATGAAGTGATGTTCTGTTTCATTAAATTTTGCACCTAAGGTTTATGAAGTGATTTTCATTTATTAAATGTGTTCTTTCGTTTATGAAGTGATGTTCTGTTTCATTAAATTTTGCACCTAAGGTTTATGAAGTGATTTTCATTTATTAAATGTGTTCTTTCGTTTATGAAGTGATGTTCTGTTTCATTAAATTTTGCACCTAAGGTTTATGAAGTGATTTTCATTTATTAAATGTGTTCTTTCGTTTATGAAGTGATGTTCTGTTTCATTAAATTTTGCACCTAAGGTTTATGAAGTGATTTTCATTTATTAAATGTGTTCTTTCGTTTATGAAGTGATGTTCTGTTTCATTAAATTTTGCACCTAAGGTTTATGAAGTGATTTTCATTTATTAAATGTGTTCTTTCGTTTATGAAGTGATGTTCTGTTTCATTAAATTTTGCACCTAAGGTTTATGAAGTGATTTTCATTTATTAAATGTGTTCTTTCGTTTATGAAGTGATGTTCTGTTTCATTAAATTTTGCACCTAAGGTTTATGAAGTGATTTTCATTTAGACAGAGAGTTCTATTTTCTATTAGACAATACGTCTACTTATTAAGACCTACATGTAGTCCTCCCAAAAACAATTTAGTTTATAGGATTAGACTGGGCTGAGATTTTGTACCCAAATATATTCGTTGGCCTTGGGATAAGATGTTTTAACCTGGCCCGTTATGAAATTACTCAAGAAATATAGTATTATAATTATTGAGAAAAATCAATTATGATTGATTTACTTACTAACACAATAATTTAAAATTGGATTTCTCACTTAAAATTTTAATTGATTTCCATAGGTATTCTTCTCTTTTTTTTTTTGGTTCCCCTTTTTATTTACCTTGAGTGACCTCTTTTTTTTCTTTTTTCTTTTTTTTTTTTCCTGGAATGCCCACAATGAATGCCTCTTTTCTCTTATTATCATGCAAAGAAAGAGAGCAAGTGGGTGGTTTAAAATCCCTTTTTCTTGCAAACCATAAAACCATTTTTAGCAAATTTTCATATCTTTTGGGAATGTCACATTAATTGTGTCTTCCTTTCCAACATTTTTTTCCCCAATGATCATTCAACGGTTTATCTAAAGACCACAGTTAATAGTAATGATCATTCAATGGAGTCTCTTTAATGGTGTTGTCAATGGAATGGAGGTCTTCAATGGAAGACTGTCGTCTTCACTTTGACTGTGGTCTTCTTTGTCTAGAATGGACCTGTAGCAGTAGGTCTTCAATTTTCAACAAGTTTGTAAAAGGAGGGTTGAGGTGGTGTGGGTACAATGGTATGAGTGTATAGTATAATTGAAACA